GAATAGGTGACTTTAGAAAGTCCTCTTTGCTGAAAAAATTCATAAAAGCCTTTAAAGTGAAAGTAAGAAAATGTATAGACTTTTTTTAAACAGATTTTGAAACATACATTTAAAGTGAGCATGCAGGGTATACCCGAGTCCTTGCTGTGTTGCTCCTTGCCACATATATATTTGTTTTTTTTTTTTCTAACTCTGCACTGTTGTCCTTCACAGTTGGCTGCATCAGGGCCAGAGTTACTTTCGTTACTCTCGACACTGCAGCAGCAGCAGCAACACAGTTTTTATTTCGTTTCGGAAAACCAGTCCGCCTGCCGACTTCCCGGCCCCAATACGCTTTAATGCAATGACATTAATTTATGAGCTGCTGCCCGAGTTGAAGCCAAGCTCCGTTTCAGCCATTTGAGTCGCTCTCTAACTCATTTATTCACTGGCAAAGCCGGGCTAACGGGGGACCGGAACTGGTTACACGGAGGAGGACTCCTCGGTTTGGCATTCACACGCCTCGTCGCGCTGGCACTTAAGTAATTTCAACTTGCAAACAAACACCCCGGATGTCTAGCTCCCGGAGCGGGAGCCATACCAAATGTCAAAGTAGTTGTTAACATTTCCGCTTTTTCGCACGGCTTTTCTTTGGACCTCTGGTCCCCCTACCCCTCTCAGAACCCTTCTGTATTTTTTGGAGTTGGGAAAAACTTTTGGTTGCAACCAGAAAGCGAATTGCAAGCCACAAGGAATGCAGTCAAGTAAAGCTGCTGGCGAAAAAAGTTTCCCTACGCCCGGACGACACTCTTAAATTACTGACTTAATTATAAAACATGAACGCTGCTGTTGCTGCTGCAACTGGGGGATCTTAGCCCGGCCAGCAGCCTCCGTAAAGTTGGCATTGCCAGTGCCAGTGCAGTTGCCAGTAATTTACATAAATAAGTTGGCGCGGAGTATTAACATGAAGGTTACAAATCGCCCAGATCCTCCAGCTCCGCCTCCACCCATAAAATGTTAAATGGCATTTAAGCTGTTGACTTTTAGATAAAACCGGGTCAACTGTGTGGCTTGACCTGGTGAGGGAGAGAAACTAAAGGAGATACCGGGCCAGGGGTAGTGGGGGAAAAAGAAAGGCTAAAGGGTAGCTCCAATTGTTACATGTCCTTCGCTTTTCCCTCCTCCAAACCCCCTTTGCGACTTACTGTCGCTTCATGTTGACAAGCTTAACAACCGTCAGCTGCAAGTTGCTGCAACTCCTCATCACTGGCTCACACATCAAATCGTGTGCATGTATAGAACCTATCCCACATTCCCCCTGGTGGCTTGACTGCTGAGGTTCTTGAGGTTTTTGGGGTCTGAGGTCCTTGCCACCCGCCGCCAGTCTCATGTGCAACTGACATTTTTCAACAAGCTGTGGGATTTCGCCCGCAACCAGCAGCACATCACATCTACAAACATTGACTTTGACTAGTTCCCTCTGAATTTTTAGGGGGCAGAGCGGCCCGAATGAACACACACTGGGGGAAAGTCAAGGACTTTAATCAAGAATAATGACTTATTTTTTAGAGAGGAACATTACTTTTAATAGTAAGTAAGGTATAACGTTAGAACTTGATAGGAGAGAAATGCAAGCTTAAGATTTTTTACAGATTTTTTATTTCCTTGAAAATAACATTTTATTTATATTATTATAATAATATAAGGAGAGAAATGCAAGCTTAAGATTTTTTTTTAGAGATTTTTGATTTCCTTGAAAATAACATTTTATATAATATACATACCTATATCCTTTGCTTTTTAGTTCCAATAATATTCTTTCCTACCTCTTTCTTATAATTTTTTCCCAGTGACTTCAACTGATAACTCATCAAGTTTCCATATCCTTGCCCAAGCCTGCCAGTGAAGCGTTTTTAATGTGTTTATAAATATGCCGGCCAGACGAAGTCCTTCGTCCTACACACACACACCTCCTACTCCCAGAGGCCTGGCCAAAGTCTAGTTTATAAAACTGTTGTCTCCCCCTTTTGATACGCTCCAAATTGACCCCTTGGCTGTGTGATGTCGTTCATATATCTACCTCTCTAGCTCTCCCAACCAGGATACCGAATCCAGGACATCCTGTGTCACTGGCCCTGGCTGGGGGATTTGTTATGAGCCGAGAGCCGAGTCGAGTCTGTTGGCAGACTAAGCGGAAGCTCTGCTGTGGCTGTTTATCAACAATGCCACGCCTCCTGCGGCTTTCTGGGCTAAATGCTAAATGCGAGAATTAATGCAGGCTCCTGGAGGCGAAGGATGATATTGAAATTAGTTGGCCAGACCACACAGGGGTAGTCGGTGTTGGGTTAGGGCGATAAGGCGTGGCCGGTTTTGGCATTTAATGAAATCGTTAACCCAGACAAATTTGCATAATCGGTTGGTTACTGGGTTTGGGGAAGTATATCCTGACAGGCAATGGTGTTAAATATTTGAACTATGGGCGGATATAATTGCTATTTGATTGCCGAAAGTGAAAGGTGAAGGTGGTTTGGGGGTTAAGGTCAAGGAAAACAGGAAAATAACAAAGAGAGGGAATATATATTAAACAAAGTTTAGCCCAAATATAGATTAATGGTTCAATATATCTTTGGTATGATAAATAATTCTTAGACAAAAATAATAAGTTGAGAAACTGTTTTTCCAGAATACATTCAAAATAAAAAATAATAATAAATAATTAATAAAATAATATAAATAAGAGTTCTTCAACTTTTATATATGTCAGGAAATTATTAAATAAATATATTTAGTTAATTCTGGATTCAATATTAAAAAATTATTAATTTCTCACTTACCGATACTCTTATTTTCGTTTCTTCTTCGTCTTTTGCTTATCAAATTCCATAATAGATTACAAACAGCATACAATTAATTTCGACAACGATTACGATTTTGTTTCTTTCCTTCCTTTCCATTTTGAGGCACTTTTTTAACTCACACACACTTTTCTTTTAACTAATGAAACACTTAAAAAAAAAATTAACAAAATACTTTACACATTTTTCGCATTAATTAGCGAAACACTTAAAAAAAAAAGAACAAAAATACATATTTACTTTATGTATTATTTTATTAATCACTTAAAAAAAAAATAAAAAATAAAATATAAAAAAAAAAGGGGAAAGGAATGGAAAGCCCGTTAAAACACACGCGAACCGCACATCAATCCATTGCCATTTCTGGCATATTTCATAAGCATTTAACTTTTACATTAGTTTGGTTTATTTACATTTATTGTTTTTAAATATGTTAATTCGAAACACTTAAAGAAAACATTTACTTTTCTAGTTTTTAGAGAGGTTACTCGCCAAGCAAACCACACATGAAAAAATGGGGAGCGGCTGCTGCTCTGCTCTCCGTTGTCTACGGGAGTCACATTTATTAATTGCATTTACTTTTTTAATACTTTATTAAGTGTTCCCACATAAAACAGTAAGTTTTATTAATATAATCGCACTTAAAACGTTTTTTTTAGCGACAGGACGTCTGAATATTCACGATGACTCTTGTTTTTTCTACTTTGCCCTCTCCTTCGCCACTGGAAATCGTTCCAGTATGATCCAATTGGACAATACGTCATAGCGGCTGCGGCTGCTGCGGCCTTCCATGTCCACGGGAGTCTCAACTCTTTTAATCGCAGTTTTAATTGCATTCATTTGATTTGCATTGGTCAAATGCTTTAACAATGGTTATTTGTTGATGACGTAGTTCTGAATTTAGTTTTTACCGAGACATCCGTTTATTTTGGCACTTGCACTTGGGGGAAAGGAGACGCAGCACTTAATTTTTAGTCGAATGTAGAAAAATCCATGTTATTTATGCATTTTTGATTGTTTTCATATAAAATGCACTTAGTTTTATTGATTTGTTTGTTTTTTGGGTATTATCAAACGTTTTTATAGGACGAAAAACGTTTTTTAGCAGCAGCACGCGTCAGTTATTCACTTTACCACTTTGTTTTCCTTTTTCACTTTGCGCTCTCCTTCGCCACTGGAAATCGTTCCACTTTTGCATACTGTACTTACGATCCTGTTGGCCAAGACAATATCGCGGCTGCGGCTCCTGCGGCCTTCCATGTCCACGGGAGTCTCAAGTTTTTTAATCGCAAATTTAAGTTTTAATTTGATTTGCATTAGCTTAATCCGTTAGCAATGGTTATTTTTCGGAAGACACCCGTTTATTTCGGCACCTGTAATTGGAGGAAAGGAGACGCAGCATTTAATTTTCAGTTTACTGTTGAAAATTCCAAGTTTTTTATGAATTTTTTATTGTTTTCACATAAAACGCACTTAGTTTTAATGATTCGTTGGTTTTTTGCCTTTTATTAAACGTTTTTATAGGACGAAAAACGTTTTTTAGCAGCAGCGCGTCAATTTTCACTTTGGCGTGTTCGTTTCTCTTCTTCTTCTTCTGTTTCTTCTGTTTCTTTACGCTCTCTTCGCCAGTGTTACCAGATGAAAATTTTGACTCTCTCCCTAAAAAATCCCAAAAAGCTGAAATTTCTCCCTAAAAAATCTCAAAAAGTTGAAATTTCCCCCTAAAAAATCCAGTAAAGTTTACGCTCTCTTCGCCATTTGCATTGGATCGCATTGGATCGTAAGTGCGGAACTAGTTCCGCAGCCGACAAGAGCAAAGAGAAAAGGAATAAAGAGTAGATCAGAATGGCGAAAGCAAAGTGAAAAAAAGAGATGAGAAAAGGAAGAACGAACTAGTTCCACAGCCGACGAGAGCGAGGAGAAAAGGAAAAAGGAGGAGATAGGAATTTGCGAAGACAAAGTGAAGACAAAGTGAAAACAAAGGTGCGCTGCTGCTGGAAAAAATGTTTATTGTCTGAAAAAAACCCTGTGATAATAATTAAAAAACTGTTATATAAGTTAAACTAACTGCATTCAATGCGGAAGTACTGCAGTAGGCTTTGATAACATGTTTCAATGGGAATTGTGAAATCAAGAATGTGGAAGCAATGTGTGGCAAAGAAAGAGAAGAGAAAAGGGATGAGATGAACAAAGCCGCCAAAAAAAACTGTATTTATTTACAAAAAATATTGACTGAGAATTGTATAGATTTTGGTGTTTTGTAAATGGTGCGTAAATCTACATAAGGGTCTTGGGTATGTATCTTAAATATATAGAAAAAAATATATCCGAATTTTTCCCTTTTCTTCCAAAAACTAATACCCAGACTTAAGGTAACTAGTATTTCTCACATTTTCCTAGGCTCTTCCATCGCTGTCACCTCCTTACCACCATCATCATCATCACAGTCCTCATCAGCATCATCTTCCCAGCCTCCCATCCAATCAGACAAATATATTCCAACCCCTCTTAGATCCTTTGTTACATAGTCCTCGTATATTTTCAATTTCATGCCTAAGCCGCCTGCTTAGGGAGGGAAAAAATGAAACCATATTAGTTTCAGGCCTGTCGTTTTATTGAAGCAACAAAAATGATAATTTCGTCAATAGAATGTTTCGGGGGAGTCCACAGACCAGGCCCCTCTCCTCACCCAAGATATTCCATCTTGTAAGCCCCGTGGCCATGACAAAAGGCTCAATGGGGAAACTCCTGACCCCCCCTCGAAATGTGCATGAATTTCAATTTCTTTTTTCCTCTTTTTTTTTGTGTGGCGTCCAGGATTTGCAGTCTTACACCCTGGACTTTTGTTGGTTAATAATCAAACGCACTCGTTTGCTTACATAGTTTGGGGTTGATGATGTAAAGGCGCCTGTGGCTTTGGCTTTCTCCTGCTTACTTTTTTTATATATTTTTTTTGCCACTTTTTTAGCCACTTTTTTAGCCAAGAGAACTCCATCCGTCCATTGATACTGGGGAATTGCCTTTGGTTATTTAACTTTTTCGTAGACATGTGATATCCGGGACATGTTTCGGGGGGTCCTGTCCATTAGCGCCCTGCCACAAATCCTGGGGCCCCTTGTTTGCCAGTGTTGAGTAATTGGATTAGATTACTTCTTCCTCCTTTTTTTTTCCTCCTACCTGTGTATAAATATATATTTTTTTGCGGTTGGCACAGCTGCTGTCAGGCTTGATTGATTGATTGATGGATGGGATGGCAGGGCTTGATCTTGTGGCATTGTCAATATGCTTTTTACGGCCCAAGTTTATATTAAATTTCTTTTTAATGGTTCTGTTTCCCCCAAAAAATATCAATATATACTTATATAAATATATATATATTTACTGGCAATGTTCTTCTGCTTTTATCGCTTGACTCCAGGCGAGTCCTTGGTTGTAATAATTTTCTGCATCATATCTGCAAGGCTATTAAATTCACATAAAATTTTCCTGCGATATGCCCGCGCTTTTCCCACGCAATCCTTCGCTTTTCCCCACGCTTTTCACACGCCCCCTCGTCCGCCTAGAGCCTGCAACCAATGGGAAAATCATAAAAATTTATGATTGCAATAATCTGGCTTTTGCACGAAACTTGTTTTTCATGCGGAAGTGCAGGAGAAAGCGCCTCCGCGTACCCAGGAATTGACACGAAAATTATGAAATAAAAACTCCAAAACATGTAGCTATACTGAATGTGTAAATTTTATATTTTAATGATACTCGCGAGTGTTTCAGTTCATTCGCAATCATGCAGATAAGAAGCCACTTTCAACAAAAACAAGAAAAAAACAAAAATGGTTATGTCAAAATCGATAAATGATGTTTGGTTCCAAGTCGTTATTTTTGGTGGCTACTCAAGGACATTTCAACACTGTTAAAAAATATTATAAACAAGGATTCTTATTTAATTTTAGCTTAAAAATTTTACAAATGAATATTTGCATTTTCTTTTCTCTTTAAAGTCTTCCTTTGTAACATAAAATAACTTTAAAATGCGCCTAAAAGTATGCTGTAAAAATGTAAGCTTATTACAGCAATCATAGCCTACTTTTTGGTAACCAAAAATAATGCTTTAAAATCTTCTTTAATAATATTTAGTTTCATTTTCTCAGTGCTTCCTCCCTTGAAGGCCAAACCTCAATTTCAACTTTGGGTATAAGCCCACACAAAGACCCAGCCAGGACGAAGGACGATTTGGCCTTATCATACCCTGTGCCGTCCGATCTGCGTTGAGTTATCAACGATATGCTTAATTTAGTTACCACAGTAAAGCCCCCAGACCCATTACTATCTCCTTTTTTGGTCCCTCGGCAAGTGTAATAATTTGTTGTTATTATCTCTCTACGGCGGAGGAGAGACCCCAAAAGACAATGCCAGTCGCATTGGCCCAGTTCCAAGGACAGGCCAGGCTGGGCATCCTTTGCATGTGGCATCCATCTATATGTAGGATGTGTGCGCGTGTTCTTTGGGGGGCTGAGTGGGGCAACATAATGAGCGCATTACACGCCATGAGGCACTTGTGCCTATCTCCGATGTTCTCAACACTTGGCGCTTCGCCTGCGTCGAACGCATAAATTTCAAGGACGCCGAAGCACGCGCCAAGGGGGGTGGGAATCGGAAAAAAAAACATGGCCCAAGAACATGCGAAGCGCGAAAAATAAATTGACAGCCCGAAGGTATGCAGCGCGTTTATACTCAGACAGTTTTTGACCTACATGTGAGGTAAGGTAAGGGTTGGTACAAAGGGGTGAGGCAGGCTAAGAGGAGGGAGAAACGGCTGAAAGTTACGCATGAAAAATATATACATTTTCATAATTATTAAGGCAAGTTTTGGGGAAAAGTTAAACAAAGGAAAATGTGTTGAAGAACAGGAATGGTTTCAAGGAAATCAATATTTTCAGCAAAATTTATACATTTATTTCACAAAAAGATATTCAACAAATATTTTTGGTATATTTTCTATTATATTATGACTCACTTTATAGTATTTTCAATTGTTTATGTTCATTTTTATCAATTAATATATTTTATTTCACTTTAATGTTCATTGAAAATTAAATTAATCCTGGTAGAAACATGTTTTTTCGTCCATTTAAAAATAAATAAAAAATACAACAATAATCCCAAGTGTCCCTGAAGTATACTTAACAATAAAACATATTCAATTTATATGAATTTATTGCCATTTTAGAATTACTTTTCAACTGCCCTCCCGATGATTAAATATTAAATTTAACTCGCTTTAAATTAATGCTTCAGGTTTATGGGTAGCTCTTTCTCTCTTAAATAATGATAATGACCATAATTTATTGAACAAAATAGCCCCTTTTCGCCCTCGCTTCGGTCAAGAGCTTTCCCGGTAATGTCATTAATTGCACACGCATGAATTTTTGATGCATTCGGTTGCGAAAATCAATTAAACGTGAATACAAGAGATACCGAAAAGTGCACACGATATGTGAAATCATTTAAAACAAATATTTAATTAAGGTCAACGTTTGTAAAAAAGTGTTAAGTAAGCAAAAATACAGGTTAAGCAAGTGGAAAAATTAGTGTATATTTTTATTTTGAGAATGAGCAATTTTTTAAGATTTTTAAAAGGTTTAAAAAAAGAAAATGAAGCTAAATCTTTTGAAATATTTTGCTATCTTATTTATTACTCTCACATATTTTAAAGAATTTTTTGTATAAAGGTAACACAAAATGCACTTCATAGGCCCTTTTATTCCAGCCAAGTTCTAAAAGAAAGCCTTGTGGAAAAATGGCAAATGTTTATATGAAAATTGCCGCCCTGTGACGTGTGCGCAATTTCCGCTGCCGGAGGTTTTTTTGGTTGGAGTCGATGGGGAAAAATGGCAGCTACTATGCCGGGGTCATTCATCCTGCAAAGTGGCGACACACCAAAGCCGGCTACGAAATGACTAATGGGCCAAAGGGGCAAGGAAGGAGCAGCAGCAGCAGCAGCAGCAGGGCCAGGACAGAGAGAGAGAAAAGGCCCAAGAAAAGCAATATGCAAAATTCGTAATTTGCCCTGGCAGACAGGACGAAACTCTCCCTCGAAGGAGGAAACTCTAGCTCCACCCAGCTCTCTTGGGGCAGTTGTCGCATTCACCTTGGCCCCTGCAACGTTCGACTATTTTTATGACCAAATGGCGTTTTATTGCCATCGACTTTTCTCGATTTCTGGTTCAAACACACACACACGTATCCTTATATATAGACTAGGACTACTATCCTATTCCAGGACCAGGTCTGGTGTCCTCTCAAAATGTGGGACAGAATCTGGTTTCCTTCAGGACTGACTAGTAGTTCAAAACAAGTTGACATTCCTGGGCATCGGGACATCAGGACATCGGGCATCCCTTATCGATTTTCTGTTGTTTGCGGGCTAACCAAATCGCCGCCTTAAGCTGTCCAGGAATCCATTTTCCCCCACACCCATCGCTTTTCTCGATTTATACAGGGGGTGGTGGCTTCGCCCTGGGTGTGGGGTTTGGGTTTGGGGGGGGCTTTGGCAAAACGTTTCAATTGATTTGAACATTTATTGCTTTCGAGGGGAGTAGATGTCATGGGACATTGGCCAGACGTTTGGACGAAAGGTAGTCGGAATTATTTCGTTGCATAAAATAGTTTTTTTTTTGTGTTCTTCTCTTTCTTTTCGTCCTTTTAAACCAAGGTGGAGAAATCAATGGCAATGGGGAGTGAGAGTGGCAGTTTTCTGTTCCTTATTGGCATCTTGGCCGGATGCTTGGCCTGGTTTTTATTTTTTGCCAGGTAATAGGTAATAGGGGTATATTATTTATATCATATCAATTTTAAGGCATTTTAAATTAAAAGAATATTTTTGGATGCTTTTAAAAATCTAGTTAAAATTTAAAAAGGAATTTAAGGGGGTTTAAAAAGAGTTTTATTCTGTTTTTTCTTCATATTTTTTAATTAAAAGTTGTTTAAAAATAGGTGATTTTTAGGGGTATATTATTAAATTGATTATATTAAATTAATTTTAAGGCATTTTAAATTTAAAAAATATTTTTTCAAGCTTTTACAAATCTAAAAAAAAAATTGTATGAGGGTTTTAAGGGAATTTTAATTAAGTTTTATTATGATTTTCCTCCATATTGTTTTTAAAAATGCTTTAAAAATTCTCTATAATCATAAATCAACTTAAAAATAGTCTAACAATTTTTTTTAAGCTCTTAAAAATTCAGCTAAATTTTAATGAGAGATTTAAGTTGGTTTTAATTGGGTTTTTTTCATT